TGGTACTAATATAAGATATATTATCCGTAGCACACACCCGAACAAAACTACTTTTTTTCGATTACTTCCTGAATTACAAGCGACAGTTTTAACTTAATAAAAAAAAATTCAATACTACGTTGATATGTCAGAACGATGAAATGATGGTTTAATAAACATTATTTATTTATCTGTTGAACGCATCTTGTTGTCCCTTAAAATCGATTGTTTCTGTATGCGTATTGTTTAATCGACTTGATGTACAACATTATATATACCAAATTACCAACTAATACTTTACTAAACCTATGATGTCTTGTCAAGTAGATGATGATGTAATCGAAAAGAATCAACCGTTCGATAACTGTAAATCATTTGCAGTTTGCAGTTTGCCAATTCGATCGTAGMAATGACGTGAACCGTATTAAAGATGTCATATTACATGATAACTGCAAACGACAACAGTGCGTAGGTTAGGTTAGGTATACCTTACATAATTTGCATAGCGAATAAATTCGACTAATCCAACTACTAAAAGTTTCGGTAATGTATAWACTATACCTATATATGGTTAATGGAATTTAAATTTAATACAAAAGACACCGTAGTAGTTACCTATTCGATATTAATATTGTTGCATCGGATGTARTAATAATATGCAGAATAATTGATTTTAATTATCAGTTGTAACACTATACTAACTATAATTGTAATGAATATAACTGTAGATACAGGTATTCAAAATAAATCGTTTGGACGTATTAATATTATTATAATATATATATTTTTTTTATTGGTTAAGCATCAACTACATAGGTTATTAGTCTTTCATAGCTTCATTGAAGTTTGGGCAGTAGACGATGATATGTTTGATGGAGTAGTTTTCATTGCATGTGGGGATAGGGGTTGATCTGTCTTTGCCATAAGGTGTCCGTGTGTGAGTTTGGTGAGGCTAATTCTAAGTCGATTATTAAGAATTACCTAATCTATTTTCTGTTTAGATTAATGTACCTATTTCAGCGAGAGTTCAACAAAGTGCTTAATTTATTTTCGATTTTTTATTATTATGTTATTATTTTATATTGTGTTTTAAGGTACCCATATATCATTGTCTTATGCTACTTATGTGTTGTCGCCGTCTTACAAACGTACGACGTGCAAATTCGTGTGGAAATAAATCAAATAGTTCTCCTAGTTAGGATATTTTATAATAGAGTGTTGCATTCTCTTGTTAATGAACATTTATTGAAATTCAATCAGGTACCTACCTATAATTCTGTAAAAATAAATGTATTCAAAGACACATAGATTTACTGAGGAAATAACTGGAAATAGACTGCTTCACGATGAAATAATCACCTTCTATTTATATATGTGTACACTTATACGTATATTACTGTACATAAAAAATGAATGTTTTAGAAAAAAAAATGATGTCAACAATCATCCGCAATAGTCGTTAGAAATGTATATATTGACATTGATTCGATAAATCGAACCTATAACGCCACATGCGTATATACATTTATAACAACGTATATAGTACCATCGACTCTATCGATTAAACGGATGTACAGTTATTGGTACGAAAAAAGGTAGAAAAACCGCTGCAAGAATATAGCGCTTCGATTTTTCGCGAGTTAYTCAGACAAAAACAAAAAAAACAACGGTAATGATCACAGTCGGAAGCATAAAAAGTGTCATACGTTTTTTTACGGACCAAAGCACAACGATCCGCCGCATATAATAATATTATTATTCCACTATTATAGCTATATATATATATACAGTTCAGCACTTCAGCCTAAATGTTGCATATACACTATGATAAATATATACATATATTTTAGTAGGTATATACACTATACACGATACGGTTGCGTGCGTAAATTCTTGATGATTTTCATTCGTTGCCTACAGTGTTCGTCAGTCGTGGAGACAAAAAACTCATTATAACATATATATTGTATATTTGTATAGGTACGAGGCACTATTATGTATAGAAGCATTTCRCAGTCGCTACTATCGCGCCATATTATGAGCTAGAGGGTAAATGGACAACTTCTTCTGATACATTTTTCGACGTAAACATTTTCCATTCTTTTTTTTTTTAAATTTATTTGATTACAAAATCAGTTTTCTTTTGTCTTAGTAATGTAAGGAGTTCAACAATAGTATAATAATAATATTACAATATACTTTTATACCTACTTTTAAAACTCATCGCAATAATTATAGCAGTATTGTATTCGGGATCATAACTTAACAAAATATGCAGTCGGA